GGGGGGGGGGGGGTCACTGTTCCCTGTGTGGGGAGGGAGGGCGTGAGGCCAAGTAGGGCAGTATGGGGTCAGTGAGGTGGGTGAGGGTGTGGGGAAAGGAAGGGCGCTAGCCCACGCCACCTCCCTGGCCAGAAGCAGCCCCGGGCCAGCCTGCTGGACTGACCACTCGTCTCCCTCACTGCAGCTGAAGTCATGGATCAGGCCTCACTGTGGCCACCCATGTACGGGGGCCGGGGCCCCTCCTCCCACATGCAGCACCCTGGCCAGCTCCCTGTGTACTCACGCTCCCAGTTCCTGCGGCACCAAGAGCTCTATGCCCTGCAGCCCCCACAGCAACAGCCGCCACGGGCCTCCCAGGCCTTGGAGTTGCAACGGCAGGTCCAGTTCCAGGTAACTGGCCTGGACCTCAAACTGGGCACCACCCCCTTGGCCCTCGGGGTAGGAGGACCTGCGTGGGGGACCTGCGGCCAGGCCGTCTCACCTCTCCCCACCCACAGCGGAAGCCAGAAGACCACCACCTGGAGCTGGAGGAGCCCAGCCCTGAGAAGGCCCTGAAGTCCACCCACAAGCCAGTTGCCTTAACCCCCACCGCCAAGGGCACCTCCCCACCCACCTCCTCGGGCCCCAAGCTCTCTCTCTGCTGCCACTCCCCCACCTCGCAGCCCCCTGCCACCTGCCCCACGCCACCTGCACCACCTCGGTCCAGCGCTCTGTGCACTTTATCTATCTGCCCTGCTGTTGGTGCGCCCGCCCACAGCCCTGGGCCCGGCTCTGTGGTGTCTGGAGCTGAGGACAAGTGCACAGAGGGCCAGCAGCCCCAGGACAGCCTCAAGGCCCTGGAGCCAGGTGAGCTGGGCCCCTCCTGCTGTCCCCTGGGGCCACAGCTGCTCCACATTCCCCCAGAGCAGGATGAAGGACCCTGTATGCCCGGAACAGGGCCTGTCCCCAGGCGAGAGTCAGAGTGGAGGGTCCTGAGCCCGCCTCCTCTGGCCTGGCCTCTGCCTCCCGCCGCCTGCCCTCTTCCCGACAGACTCTTTAATTTGCTCTGAATTAGGCTGAGTGTTTACACTGGAAATCCGTGTGGTGAACATAACACCAGTCCCAATTTCACAATGAGACTGAGCCAACAGAGGTGGTTGGGTTTTTTGTTTTTTTATTGCAGTTAATGGGGCGTAAGACCTCCGACACGCTGCCGGCTCCTGGCTCAGGGGAAGCCCTGATTCAGGCCTTGTGTCCGTAAAAGAGCCCCCTTTTCTAGTTAGCCACACCGGGTTCCACCCAGGCGCTGCTGTGGCTGCCTGGTGGGATAGGGGCTCCCAGCTGGCTGGGGGACAGGTGTCTTCTCCTGCATTGAGCCTCTGCCCTGCAGCCCCCCACAAAGTGATGTGACCCCTATTGCAGGGAGTCCCCCAAGGATGTGAGACCCTCACCCCCATCCCACTGGCTTCTTCTTGCTGACACCACGCTCTCTCTTACAGCTCTGCCCCCCGGATACCCGTGCCCCCCGGCCTGTGTGGGTTTCTCCTCTGCCCACCCCGCTCACGTGCATTCTGCTGACCTCTCGGACCCTGAAACTATGCAAACCGCCACCCCCGGGGCCCACCTCGAGCCTCCGAGGACACTCCCACAGGAGCAGCCACCGTCGTGCACCCCGGCGAGTCTGGGGGAGCCGGGGCTGCTCTCGGGGACCAGGGAGACCCAGGACCTTGCTGACACTCCCAACCCCGCCGAGCGGGGACCCACCGGGGAGGCAGTGGACCCCAGCCCACTCGAGGGGCTACAAGAACTGCAGTGTGAGGCCCTCATCGGGGGAGGGGACTCTGAAGCCCCTGGCCAGGTTCATTCTACTCAGGGAAGGGTACAAGAGAGGACCAAGGAGGGGGGCAGGGACGAGGGAGTGCAGGGGCCCTCCCCGGGGGCTGCCCCCCAGGCCCTGGTGCCACAGGCGTGGAGCCCGGGCATCCAGGACGAAGACCAAGAGGAAGAACTGCAGGAGAAGGGGGGGAACACAGAGGAGGACTGGTGTTCCTGCCTGGACACTGACCCCCTGCCCAGGGTGTGGCCCAGCCTGGATGCCCTTGTGGCTGCCACCATTGATCTGGGAGACTTGCCCAGACTCAATCCAGCGGACCCTCAGCCTCCGACTGTCCTGGCACCCCCCAGCACCTGCCCCCCGCCCCAACGCTCAGGGATTCATGGGATTGCCCTGCTTGGTGAGCTGGCCGAACTGGAGACCCAGCGGCAGAGGAGCGAGCAAGTCATGGGAGGTATGTGGCCGTCTGTCTGTCCGCCTGCAGTGGCCTTTGGCTGAGCTCAGCTGTCCCCACATTATGGAGTAGCATATGGTTGGGACTCCAAAGGGACTTCCACCCTGCCCTGCAGAACAGTGATTTGATGGTGGTCTTAGAGGAGGGGCCAGGAGGGTAGTAGCACCTGAGTGTGTTACCCACAAAGGGGGCTCAGTGGTCCCCTGACTCACATAAAGGAATCAAGGCCCTTGGAAGTGAAGGAAGAGGGGAAGAGAGGAGAGACTACATCCCTCCCTCAAGCCTGGGCCTGGTGGGAGAGATGATCTGCCGGGCCCCAGCGCCGACACTGCCTTCCCAGGACAGCAGTGATTCCCCCATCTGGGGCTTTGCTTCCACACACACACACCCACCCACCTTTGCTGAGTGGGTCAGGACCAGATCCCCCAGGACTTCAACCTCAGGCCCCTCAGTTGAGGGCTGTATCTTTCAGCCCTTGGAGGCTCCACACAGCGCCTCCCTGCAGCCCACACCCTCCCCTGGGAGAGGACCCCCAGCTTTGCTCCCTGGATGGGGGGGAGAGTGTGGTGGGGAGAGCCGGGTGATATTTATAAAAATTTCCTAGTGCAGGTCTCATGCCTGTTTCCTCATGTGAAGCCTTTCGTGCCATCTAGAGATGGACTGAGTGTTCTTATTAATTTCCCCAGTGATCTGGCAGAACTGTGGGGGGCAACAGGCTTGCAGGCAGACCCCCAGGAAGCCAGAGAGAGGTGGGCATGTGGGGAGAGGGCATTGAGGGTGAGAGAGCCTGACAGCTGCCCAGGGTGTGGATGCTGCACATTCATTGAATCACCACTTCTATACTTGTGGACCATGTGTGTCCTGGGGGGTCGGAAGCCTGAGCCAGGTGGGTATGGGAACAGCCATGGCAGAGCCATGTGGATGGAGTCAGGCAGGTTCCAACCCCGAGGTCCCCAGCCCCTGTCCTAACTGCTGGGTGGGTGACATAGTCACCTGGACCCCGTGGTGTCCTTGGTGGAAGGAATTTGGTGACCGTTTTGTCTGAGCGGTTTGTCAGGTGACCAGCGGAGAAAATAGACGTTGGGCAGACTGGGTACAGAGGAGGGCAGTGCCTTTCTAGAGCCCTGGGGAGGGGGCTGAGGGGCTCGAAGCTGCTGCCAGACGTACCTTCCCTGCTCGGTGCCCACGGGCCCTCCAGCCCTCCAGCAGGCCTCTTGGCCAGGGAGCCTTGGTTTGCCCCCACCCTCACCCAACTGTCCAGGGACCGAGGGTCGGGTGGGTTTCTGTCTGGTGGGTCGGTAGTGCGTGTCTGTGGTGGGGCCGAGCTCAGGGCCCTTTTCAATTTGCACTCGGAGGTGTGCCCTGGCTACCCCTACCTCCCTCTCGGGGCATGGACCATGTAGCCCCAGGAAGGGGTTAGACCCTGGAGGACTCGGCTGAAATGGTGGTGTGCGCACCCCTCCTGGGTGAAGAGAACCCTCACCCCCTCCTCCCCTCCCCTCTGGCAGCCCCACTTCCAGAGCTGAGGGTTTCCACTGCGCTTGTCCTTAGTTGTAAGACTTCTTTATATATTCAGGATACTGGTGTGGAGCTGTGCATTAATGCACTGGACTGCAAAGTCGTTTGAACCACAGGTTGGCGGTTCAAGCTTACCAGCCACTCTTCAGAAACCATATATAAAGTCGCTATGGGTCAGAATTGACTCGACGACACTTCACAATAACAACAATCCTTTCAGTCTTGCTGTGCTTCCAGAGGATAAGTACTCGACCTCAAGGTCGGTTTGAGTCTCAAGGTTGGTGGTTCAAATTCACCAGCCGATCCTGTAAAACCTATACAGGGTCACTCTTGAGTCCCATGTAAAGCTTCATGGGAACAGAGAGCCTCCTCTTTCTTCTGCAGAGTGACTGTTGTTGTTAAGTGCCGTGGGGTCAGTTCCGACTCATAGTGACCCAGTACAGGGTTTCCAAGGCTGTAAATCTTTACTGGAACAGAAAACCTCATCTTTGTCCTGTGGAGCAGCTGGTAGTTTCGAACCGCTGACCTTGAGGTTATGAGCAGACCAGCCAGGGCTCCTTTCACTGTCGAAAGTTGTATAGGGTTTTTGAAGAGTCGCTGGTGAGTTTGAACCATTAACCTTACGATTCAAGCTGACCTTGCAGTCAAGTGCTTACCCTACAGCGCCACCTCAGGACGGGGATAAATAAGCGTGTGTTCTCTTGCTCACTGGAATCCACGTGGATATGTGGATTCTTACACTCATCAATCAAAGACAATCTGACCCTGTCACTACTGGGATGATCGTGTGGTCCCCAATGTGTCCTGTGGAACTCCTGTAATTGGGATCTTATGGCCCTTTATTTTTCATACTATTTTTTACCATAACATAAAATTGGCTCTTCTCACCATTTTTGTGTGTCCAATTCAGTGGTTTCAATTACATGCATAGAGTTGTGTGGCCATCTCCACTCTGCTTTCCAAGCACTGAAAGAAACTCTGTCTCCATTAAGCAGCGACCCCCACATTGGCACCCCAGCTCCTGATAGCCCCAACTCCACCTTCTGTCTCTGCATCTGTGGTGTAGCGGGGTCCTGCAACGTGCGATTTCTGTCACACTGCAGCCAGGTTTTGATCTTGAAACAAGACTTCATATTTTATAGAAATCATATTCCCCTCTCCCCCTCTCAAGGAGAATTACGCGATGGGTTAAGGGTTGGACTGTAGTTCACACCCACTGGGCACTCTATGCTTTGAGGGAGAACGATGAGGTAGTCTGCCCCCATGGAGATTTACAGACTCGGAAACACACTACGGCACTTCTACTGTGTTCTATAGGGTGGCTGTGGGTCGAAAGTGACTCAATGTGTAGGTCTCCCCTTCCCCTCCTCTCTCCTCTTCCTCTCTCTCTCATGTATATATGGTGGACGTATGTGCATACATATATATACATCACACCAAACCCACTGCCACCAGTGGATTCCAATTCATAACCCCCCCAATAGGAAACCCTAGGCTGCAGACCTTTAGTCTCCTGCGGGTCAGGACTGGGCTCCGAGACCTGGTGGTCTGCTTCTGAAGAGACACCACCCAAGAAGACCCTAGGAGGTAGCTCTCCTCTGTTGTATAAGGTCACTGGGAGTCAAAAGTGACGTGATGGCACCTAACAAGAACAAGTCTTTAGCAGATGTATAATTTGCAAATGATTTTTTCCATTCTGTGGATTTTCTTTTCACTCTCTTGGTAATGTCCTTTGAGGTTTTTATTTTGATGAAGCCTAACTCATCTATTTTTTCCTCTTGTTGACTGTACTTTTGGTATTGGATCTAAGTAACCATTACCAAACCCAAGGTGGTAAAGATTGCTCTCATTCTATTAAGAATTCTTTCATTTTTATGCTAAGATTTATATCTTGGTCCATCCTGAGTTGAACTTGTTCATTGATCCAATTGTCCCAACATTTGTTGAAGAGACTGCATCTTCCTCATTGGATAAACTTGGCATTCTTGTGGATATCAAGTGACTAGAGATGTGGAATCTTGATTCTGTTCTACTGTTTCTGTCTCTATACATAACGTCAGAACCACACGGTTTTGATTATTGTAGCTTTGTATTAAGTTTTTAATCAGGGACTGTGAGTCCTCCAACTTTGGTATTTTTCAAGATTGTTTTGTCTACTCAGGGTCCCTGAAACTCAGTATGGATTTTAGTATGAGTTTTTGTATTTCGGACAACAACAACAAAAATTGTCAGTATTTTTCTGTGGATTACATTTTCAATCTGTTTATATTTAACTCTAGTTAATATTGTATCTTAACATTCCTCAGCTATCCAAATGGCTACTGTGCTCAGCTGCTAACTGAAAGGTGGGAGGTCTGGCTGTGCCCAGAGGTACTGAGAATTAACCATCAAAAATCCTAAGGAGTACAATTCTACTCTGACACACATGGGGTTGGCATAGGTCATCTTACCAATGTGAAGTCTTTCCATCCATGAACATTGGATGTCTTCCTACTTATTTAGGTCATCTTTAACTTCCTTCATCAATGTTTTGCAGTTTCCAGTGTATAAGTCTTTTACTTCCTTAATTAAATTTACTCCTAAGTAGTTTATTGGTAGCATAGTGGTTAATGAATCAGACTGCTAACCTCAAGGTCGGCAGTTTGAAACTACCAGCTATTTGGTGGGAGAAAGATGAGGCTTTCTGCTCTCATGAAGATTTACAGCCTTGGAAACCCTGTACAGGATCACTATGAATCGGAACCAACTCCATGGTATTTAACAACAACAAGAAGTAGTTTATTATTTCTGATACTCTTGCTAATGCAATTCTTAATTTCCTTTTTAGATCGTTCATTGCTAGCCTATAGAAACACACTGATTTGTGTGTGCTGATTTTTATATCCTGAATTCCTTTGTTAATGCTACAAGGTTTTTAGAGTCTTTAGGATTTTTTTTACACAGAGGACCATGTCCTCTGTGAATAGTTTTGCTTCTTCCTTCTAATTTGGACGTCATTTATTTCCTTTTCTTGCCTAATTGCTCTGGCTAAGACTTCCAGGACAAGGTTGAATAGTGATGAAGACAGACATCTTTGTGTAGCTCCTCATCCGTGTCCTTTTAATACATTTCCATTGTTCTTCCCCTCCTTCCTTGATTTCTGACATCACAGATGCTCCAAGCTCACTCTGTCCTTCCCCTGTCCCAGCCTGGAGCCAGTCATTTCTCAAAGTAGCCCCAGCTCCTTGCATGAGAATGTTTAGAAGCCAATATCTGGGGGCTTGGTGTGCTTAGTGGCGTTGGGATGCTGCGGCTTCCAGTCGCCCCCTAGTGGTCAGAGGTAGCTATGTACAACTTCCCACTGGCAGCTGCAGTATTACATCACTGGGATCATTCTCTTTATTCCCTTCCATGCTTGTAACTTCCCTGACGGTGAGAAACCTGGCCCCATGACCCTTCATAGATTGACTTATGGGACCAATCCCACCCCACATGTAACCAGTCTTTCCTCCTTCTGACACTGCCAGGCCTGTGACACCCAATGGTCAGCATTGTTTGGGCCTGTCACCCCCATGCTCCTCCTGGCTCCCTTATGAGGCTCGATAAGATGAGGCCTGCACGGTCAGCCCTGGGTTGACCCAGGACTCTAACCACCCCCAAGATGCCTCCTTCCTTACCTGTGCTCAGCTTGCTGGTTGGACCCTAACCTCTCCTGCCCACCCCAGGACCTGAGCATGCTGGGATATTCTCTGCTTGGGTGTGCCTTAGAAGGGGGCCAACACTGCCCCCTGGGACCTCAGGGGGTGCAGGGTGTGGGGAAAGGATAGTCTCTGTGGGAGAAGAAGGGGGCCCCAATGAAGGGAGGGGCTGAGGGATGGATATTTGGATGAATGGGTGGGTGGATGGATGAGTGGACGGAGGGGTGGATGGATTATGGATGGATTGACAGGTGAGTGGATGGATGGGTGGATGGGTAAATCGACAGCTCTTCGCTACTGGTGGTCAGACCCTGGGAGCTCCTGTGTTTAAGACGTCTCAGGCACACACAGGCGCACCTACTTCTGTGACTCTGAACTTGACTCTGAGGTCTCAGTTTGGTCCAGAGCATGAGCTCGTGGCTGTCCTGAGGGCTTCTAAGAAGTCAGGCCTTGAGTCCCCGGAGCCCAAGTCTCCCAGGTCTGGGCTCTAGGTCACACCCATGGATAGTTCCTGGCAGAGGTGGGATGTTGTTGTTAAGTGCCGTCGAGTCGGTTCCGACCCATAGCGACCCTGTACAGGGTTTCCGAGGGTGTAAATCCTTACGGGAGTAGAAAGCCTCATCTTTCTCCCGCGGAGCTGCTGGTAGTTTCGAACCGCTGACCTTAAGGTTCGCAGCCCGATTCATAACCACTACGCTACCAGAGGTGGGAAGACACTCTTAATTCAACTTCAACTTGTTTCGGTTTCTGCGTCTTGTTCTGCATAGTGGGGAGGAGGCTGCCTAAGTAAGCACTGTGCCATCCTGTACCCTGGAGCTGGGACGGTGCCTTGGTTGTGGTCCTCACATCCTGGGGGGCTCAGCAGCCTCCGGGCATCCTATTTGGGTGGCCTGAGGTGCCTGGCCTGGAGCAGGGGTCCTGTGCATACCACACACCTCACAAGCCCATCGACAACATGCACACACACAAACTTTACCTGTGTGTACACATGCTCACATTCACACACAACCTGCGTATACTCACGTGTGTAGATCACACATGTGCACATATGTTCATTAGTACCCACCTGTGTGCTCACATGCATATACCCAAGTATACACACATACACAGTTGTAAGTGCCCACACAGCCATGCATGTACCTGTGTATACAGATACACCAGCACACAATCATGCATAGACTTGCACAGCTGTGTAGACACATGCTCAGTCCCACTCATGTACACATACACATAAGCATACTCGAATACACCCATGTGCACACATGCTCACCTCGCACATGCCTGCATACGTACATGTGCACATGCCTTATGTGCATGTTCTCAGACCTGTACACACATGCTCGTGCGTGCACAATGCCCTACATTATTACATGTACCCACACACACGTGTACACATATACATGTTGGCATTTGGGCACACCCATGTCAGCACATGTTTACACCTGCGCTCACGTGTGCATGCTCATGTGTCATGCGCACACATGCTCATGGACATACATTGTTCCCTCATCTCCCCCCACAGAAGAGGAAGAAGACGTGCTGGCCTTCAACCTGCAACATCTGGCCACACTGGCCACAGCCTGGTCACTGGTGGAGGCCGCCAGTCTGGAAAGCCCCACCCCCACAGCCCCAGCCCCCGCTGCCCACCCCTGTCATGGACCTGCGCTCACCCCCCGCATGCAGATCCTACAGCGCAAGGACACCTGGACCCCCAAAGTCAAGCCCGTGAGTGGAGGGTCCTGGGGTGAATGAGGTCCACCTGCCCCTGTCCCCAGGGCCCTAGTTCTGCTCACAGCCCAGTGCACCCCCCCCCCAACAGGTGTGCCCACTCAAGGCGGCCATGGAGCGGCTGGACACACAGGAGGTGGAGGTGCGCGTGCGGCTGGCCGAGCTGCAGCGGCGCTACAAGGAGAAGCAGCGAGAGCTGGCGCGGCTGCAGCGCAGGCACGACCACGAGTACGCGGTGGGGGGGTGGGGAGAACACAGGGCGGGGGCAGGAGTATGCTGTGGGGAAGAACACCAGGGGGGCGGGAGTACACAGTGGGGGTGGGGAGAACGCCAGGGGGCGTGAGTACAGGGTGGGGGGCGTGTACACATGCGAAGTGCACATAGAGGGAGTGTACCTGAGGGGCATGTAAAAGGCTGAAGGGTGAGGCATTGGGGAGCCAAGTGACAAGAGGGCAAGATGGTTGTGGGAAAAGATCACCTGTCAGGAACTGTTTCTGGCGTGAGGCTTCTACCCTGATGGTCTGTCAGAAAGGGGTGCTAGGAGGCCAGCGTGGGGGACCATGGGTCAGGGGGTGGGGTTAGGCATCAGAGAAGCTGGTGGAGGCCACAGGCCATCTACAGGAGAGGCTGAGGGGACCGTGTGTCAGCCCCACAGGGCAGGGCCTTCTACAGCCACCAGCGCCGGCATAACCCTCTGATACTCCCCAGGAGAGAGGAGAGCTCACGGAGCCCTGCTCGGCGAGGGCCCGGCCGGCCCCGGAAGCGAAAGCATTCCAGCTCTGTGCCCACCCTGCGCCCTGGGGGCCCACTGGCCAGGAGTGACAAGAAAGTAAAGTAAGCTCTAGCTTCCCGGCTCCTTGGACCTGCTGTGACTCGCCACCGTCCCCTCAGGACCCCGGGCCACCTCGGGTGTCCAGGGGGGCATGGACATGGCACCATCAAGGACAGCTGTCCTCTTCACTTTGCTGACCAGCCTTGGGTGCCACCCTGGGTAGTCCCAGCCCTACCACACAGCTCACCCCCCCAGCCCTTGCCACCCCCCCACCCAACCCCCATCAAGGCGGCGTGGCGTAAAAGCCTCTTTATCTGCGCGGTATAAGCTGTTGGTCACGCTGCTCACGGCTGCCGCGAGTTATTACCCATTACCCGCCCGGCGCGGTCGTTGGCGCGCTCCTGGGCCTGGTATAATTGTCCTCAGCTACAAATTGCCTCTCCCGGCAGACCCATTTGCATAAATCCTCTGAGCTCCTTCAAACACGATTGGCGCGAGCCTGCTCGCACTGCATCAATCCTGATGATTCGGTAATAATAGTTAAATCTGCGCTAAATGGTTCCTTCAATTAAGACAGAGGCAAAAAATTAATCTCAGGGCTTTATGTCACAAAACATTAGTGAATGCGGGGAAGGTTAGGGGAGGGGAAGTTGTTGTTGGCTTCTGGCAGTGGACGCACCATATGGCTGGGGGGGACCTCCCTGAGCTGTCCCTCCACCCGGTCCAGGTGTGGTCACCCAGCGGGAGGCTCTAGGGAACGCCTCTTAGGACCAGTCAGAGCCATGGGGGCTGCTGGGCAAGGCCTCCTGGAGGTCAGGGGCCTGACCAAGCTGCCCCATGCTGCAGCTCGGAGCCACCTGGGGCCAGGTCCACAGCCCTGGAAGCTTTATCCTATGTTGCGGCCACTCTCCGCTGACCCAGGGAAGCAGTCCCAGCCTGGACAGTCACTGGTGGCAGGAAGACAGTGACCTCACAGCAGAAGGAACCCAGTCAGGCCCCTTCCCTGGTTCTCTTCTACTCTCTCCCCAGCTCTGGGCCCCTATCCATGACTTTGCATCCCAACTTGGGGTCCCCATGGGTACCAAGTGGCCAGAGGTCCCAGGATGCAGGCCTGTCACCTGGCAGAAATTAAGGCAGGTCATGGCTGCAAGGTGGCTTCCTGCTATCCTCCTTGGCCACTCAGGCCTGACCTGCCCCTGGCTGGATAGACAGGGCTCTCAACAACCTGGGGGGATGACCACCCCAATTCCCAGCCCTCATCTGTCCAAAGACAGACAGCCAAACTCCGTGAGCCTCAGTTTCACCAAGTGAAATTGGGCCAATGATGGCACCTGCCCATGGATCTTGGTGAGAGAGCCACCCATGTGGCCCTCACTACAAGGGCTGATGAAGTACCCCCCAGGCAGAGCTGTTAGGAGACAACCACTGGGTCTACACAGGCTGGGGTGCACCCCCACGTGTTGGCATGGGGAAACCGAGGCCCAGTTTCCTAAGTCCATTGAGGAGATGGGCAATGCGGTGTGGTTTTCAGTAGCAGCACCTCCCTCAAGACCTAGAACTGGAGGCAGGAGGAAAGCTCCTGAGGGTCTGAGTCGGGGGAGTCCCAGGGATAGGGGGACACGCTCCTTTGGCCGCTGCCCCCACTAGGACCAGATTTGCCCGTACCTTTCCAGGCAGGACCTAGATGCTGAGAGTGGACCATTCTCCAGTCTCCCCAGCATCCCCTCCATCCCTAACTCTGGTAACAGGTGGCCCAGCATTTTCCAAGGGCCCAGCTGGGTCATGTCTCCTCTCCTTGACCCTGCAGAGAAGCCCGGTTGTCATTCCCATTTTCCAGGTGGAAAGACTGAGGCCTTAGGCCCAGTCACACAATGACCCTGCCAGCTACAGTTACCCAGTCCCCACTGCCTGCTCCAGGGAGCCACCAAGGACTAACTGAATGACAGGGTGGGGGTGGGGTGGGAGTAGAGTGAGACCCCACCCCCCACAGCAGAGCAGGATGGACAGGCGGGCAGGCTTCCTTGGGACAAGAGTGACGGTCAGTGGCACACAGGAGGACTGCGGGAGGCAGGAGGTGTGCAGGGCCTCCATAACTCCAGGAGGGAGAGGGTCCTCAGAGGGATGGGGTCAAGATAACCCTCCCAGCTGGGACCACAAGGACTGGCCTGGGTGAGGGGACTAGACTCAGGGAGCCAGGCAGTATCCTCTGCCCTCACCCACATGTGTCTGTGCCCCCAGGGCGGTGCGGACAAGTCTGAGCCTGCTGTGCGCAGAGCTGCGGAGCACTGGGGAGCCCCCCGAGAAGAGGAGCCGACTGGATCGGGGTGTCTACATGGGCTTGCAGGCTGCCCCTGCGGTGAGCACCCACCCACACGCTGGGGACAGGCACAGGTGCTCAGCAGGCTCCCTGAAGGTGTGATGGGGCTGGCCTCTGGGCAGGTGACCAGGAGGACATGCTACTGTGCTGGTGTAATGGGAACATGGTCGTCCCACAGACGTAGTCCCTGACACGGGGTGTCTGTGCTGAGATGGGGACATCACTGGAGGGAGGACTAACACAGTTGCTGAGGGTCATATCACCTGCCCTAGGGAGAGGGCACGAGATCGGCTCTCGCTCACAACTCCTGTAATCTGCCTGATCCGCACAACCAAAGGCTAGCAAGGGTCCTAGCGCTATTACTGCCCATGCATGGGGCTTGGCAGGGACACCCCCAAGGCCTCCGGAGGGGCCACCTGTTGAGTGGTTACTGGCAGAGGGGTAGTGCAGCCGCCAGCTCCTTGTCAACCCACAGGAGAAGGCGCAGTGCAAGAAGAATGGCCCCCCGGGAAAACTGGCGGCCGTGATGGCCCACAAGGTGGCCCAGCTCAAGCCAAAGGTTAAAAGCAAGGGGCTGTCCACGGGCCTCAGCCCCTTCCGGCGGAAGGAGACCGTCTCAGGTGGGCGTATCCGAAAGAAACTGTCTGGAGCCAAGAACACCAAGGTGTCGGGGGTGACCCGACCCCCACAGCCCGAGGGTGACGGCGTCAAGGAGGCACCTAAGTTCCTGGGTAAACCAACGGGCACTGCAGGGCACCAGGCAGGCAAGTGGTGGACTTGAGCTGACCATGTGGGGTCCTTCAGGCCAGAGTCAGTAGGGAACCCCAGGGGAGGGTGGGCAGGTGGCTTGTGAGGTCACAGGGAGGGCCTCTATTGGACAGATGGGGGACTATCAGGGTCTCCTTGAAGGGGTCAGTACTCAGTGTCTGTCTAGGTGCCCCCCCCGGGACAGATCTCATTGTCCAGGTGCCCCCGCCCCAGGGTCAGAGCTCAGTGTCCAGGTCCCCCCCCCAGGGTCAGAGCTCAGTGTCCAGGTCCCCCCCCCAGGGTCAGA